ACACCCACCTCGCTACAACCTCCTTTCAGGTAGTTGTAGAGAGCGAGAAGGTCTCCCCTGAGCCTCCTTTTCTCCAGGCTAAACAACCCCAGTTCCCCCAGCCGCTCCTCATAAGACTTGTTCTCCAGACCAAATGGGATTCAAGAGCTGGGATTCAGACCGTGATGAAGAAATCCTGAGTGACCCAAAGTAGTTTCTGTGTGTCTCTGTCCCTGTGAAATGGGAAAAGCACATTTCTGTTGGTTGTCTTGTCTCCATAGCTTGCAAGCTTGAGGAGTCAGAGATTCCTACACTGTGCCCTGGTAAATTGGGTCTGTGGTCCCAGGTAAGGTGTCCAGCCATTGGTACAAGCCTTGTGTGATCATGGTTGGTTCTTATAAGCATGTGAGCTCAACTGGCCAGGAAACTGTGTCGGCCCCAGGAGAGCCAATGATCCAGACAAACTGCCCTCTCCACAGCTGTGGAGCATGTTTTGCTTCCCTCTGGCTGCAGCCCTCTGTGTTACCTAGGCATGGTGTAGCTGTGCTGAGAAACAGCCAGAAAGGCTCTGTTGGCAACTGGCATGGGAGGCTGTGGGCAACTGGTTGATGGCCATCACAAGACCATTTGGGGGAAATTAAGACTTGCAGCCAGCTGGAGGGAGGTGTATAAAAGCCGCTCTCCACAATTAGAGGGAGATCTTCCTATGAAAACCAGCCCACGGAGGAGAGGAACCAGCAATTTTGAGGCAGAGGAACACTTGTGCTAGCTTTCCCCGTCTGTAAAGATGTGTTAAGTTATCTTTGAAATAAAGCCTGATGCTGCTTTCTTGGTACGTAAATGGTGTTGAATTAAGCCTGACCCACTGCCAGAGCCTGCCTGTGGCAGGTACAAATTTGAAGTCGGGCCACTACAGGCAAGATGACTGTACCCCCAAGGGTGGGTACGACCATGAAGAAAGGCTCCTGCACATCGGTGCAGGGGATGTGGCTGAGAGCATGAGGAATGCAGACTGTGGGTCTGTGGTGGTGGACACCTTCAGCTGTTCCAGTTCTATCTCTCTGTCATACTGGAAGAGGGTTATAGCGGGGTGACGAGGTCACTTGTCGGGGAGAGGTTACATCGGCAGGTCTCTGGTTTGCAAAAGGTACAGCTGAAGGGGATGTGATCAAGGCTGTGAAGTGATTAGTGGTGCTGGGAAGTAAATAGTTCATGTGTCCCATGTCACTGGAGGACAGGAGCATGCAATGAAATTACCAGGCACCAGATTTAAAACCAATGAAAGGAAATACTTTTCCCAGACAGCACACAGGGAAGCTGTGGAGCCAGTGCTGCAGAATGCTGGGGACGCCAGGGGTGTGGATAGATTCAGAAAAGGCCACCAAGGGCTGTTAAACATGGGGCTGATGATAGAGCCTGTGCCGCGGGCAGGCCCTGGGAGGGTGCTGGGGGAGTATTGCTCTCTGCTTGCTGTGGTTCAGTATCTTGCTACGAGCCGCTGTCGGCTCCGTCTGGGTAATAGCCTTGTGCTTCTGCAGACTAAGAAAGCAACAGTTATGTCTTCTGTCTTTCCTGCTTTCACAGTAAAGTGCAATAAAACCATGAATCTTCTACAACGGAGCATCCAGCACTGCAGGAATTTGACCAAGGAGAATAGCTGATATTCTGCTTGGATCAGCCTCCCCTGTTGTAGAGCTGCACGTTGGGCAGGCAGAGGCAACGTGAAGGATACGATGTTCAGCCTGAATGGTGCCAGAAGTGAGGGATATGTCCAAGAGCTGTTCCACGAGGAAGCACAGCAGGTATGCAGGAGAGCATTTCCCTTCATAGCCCAAGTTTCCATCTCCGTGGTCTCTGTACCTACTCCTGGTCACCTCTGTGGCAGGTAAACAGGACTGAAGTAGCAAAACTGCCCGTCTTTTTGCTACGTAAACCTGAGATGTATTATTTAGAAAGGGAAAGAGGGGACTTGGTTTCCAGAGGGCAGGAGAGAGCAGTTGCAATAGGAAAACTGCTGTTTCCCTGGAGTTTCAGGTCTCAGGTCCAGCAGCTCTGAAGTTCTCTGGTGCCCCAAGTACCAGAGTCCCGTGTCTCCTCTAGAAGCGTAGTGTCCTGGTCAGAGATGACTGTGTGTGATGGGAAGACCATCTTAACCTACTCTGTCAGTCCCAGTTGGTCCAGCCTCATTTGTCATCTCATCTAAGAGACTTCTCCAGTGCACTGAGGACCCTGCTTGTCTTGGTGGGGTGCTTGGCAGGGACAGAAGGAGAAGCACAGTGTATAGCTGTAGGCTCTGTAAAAGACCCCTTGAATCGTGTTTTTGGTTCATGTAACGTTGCCAATGGGGTTAATTCGGTGAGTCTGAGTAGGATTCTGTTGCTGCTTATCCTACAAGGATATAAATAGGTTATTACAGGGAACCCTCTCTTTCAGGGCCCAGGGATCCCGACAGCTCTGCTGCACCTTCATCTTAGAGACAACTTGCAGCAAAGTGGTGTCTTAGCAGCTGTTGGTGGCCATCCCACTGTTGGTGGCTGGCTGTTGCACCACTTCTACAGCCTGCCTGTAAAGCATGAGAGGTAAAACTGAAGGCTCTGCTTTCCTTTAGGTATCTCAAACACAGACCAAGCCCTGGTGGAAGATCCAGCTGTTTGTGTGGGAGCCGGTGCTTTTTGGAACATGGGATGGCGTCTTCACCTCCTGCATGATCAACATTTTTGGAGTAGTTCTTTTCCTGAGGACGGGATGGCTCGTGGTGAGTGAGTGCTGACTTGGTTGAATGTGTGAATAGGCATTTTCCTCCTCACCTCCTTACCTCGTATCTCCATGACCACCCAAGTGTTTTGGATTCTGTGCTGTTCATTATAGGTGTTGCTTACGTCCTCTGGTATTTTGTAGCATTTCAAAAAGTTCCACTAAAATGTAAAGCTGAAGTGGTCTTTGTGAGTGGTTTCCTATTTTAGCTTTAGGAAAGAAAAAGAAAAACACAACAACCAACCTTGACAATGAACAGGGACACCCTGGTGTTGTATTGTTGAGACAAAATAACCGCTTTTCAGGTAAAGCATATTGCCGTAGTTACAGCTACTCAGCCATCTTCCTAACACCACTGAAGCAGGTCTCTTCCAAATGTGTCAGTGTTAGAGTCCCCGATGTCTTCAATGGAGAGTCCTCAGTCAGGTGAAATTGTCATCGCTGTCAAAGGGACTTCCACTTGTGGATCCAGAACAGTATCTCACTGAGGGTCAGAGCCTGGAAGAGTCTCTCTGCTCCCCTTCTCATGCAAAACATTGTGTTGTCCCTTAAAATTTCCCCTTAGAAGAAGGAAAGCTCCCCCAGGGACAGGTGGGATTTGAGCGTCGGGCAGAGTTCGTGTCACAGGCACGAGTTCGTGTCACAGGCACGGTGGACATCTTCCAAAAGGAGCAGGAAGACACTTGCGTTGTAGACAATGCAAGTTTTAGACAGGAAGACACTGTATTGAAAATTGCTTCGCTGGAGGCTTTGAGGGGAGCTGCAGTCGTGGTGGTGGAGAAGTCGGGATGATTTTCCTAGCTCCCTTTTCCTCCTGATCTTATTTCCTCCACGTCTCCTTTGAAAGCAAGTTACTGCTGGAGCAAACGCAAATAAAAATAAAGCCAGTAAATAAAAGAAAAACTGAAACAGCTGGAAGCTAGCATAAAAGGGAAGGGAGGAGAAGTCCCTTTTGGGTTGGCAGAGAGCTGCCCTGGCAGAGGACGGTCATGTGTCGAGCTGTTCGCAGAGTCAGGCTTTTGCTATAGATTTCCAGAGCCGGGGCTGGTAAAGCTTTGCAATTCCAGGAGACCCTAATCTTGCTGAAATGTTCGACAACTATTGTAAAGCTGCACTAACCCCTTCCAACACGCATGCATAAGTAAGCATCAGTGTTTAATGGGGGCTTTTTCTTCCCACTTTCTCTGCTTGCTATTGTTGCTGTGAGTCCAGCCTTCCTCCCTGGTCTTCGTGTTAACCCTTTCTTCTGTGGGAACCATTGAATTGCCCATTAACTAGCTGCTGCCATAGCCTGGTGCCACCAGCAGATTCTGGAAAAGCCCAGGGCTACGTGTATGTTTGCATATGTGTGCTTTTTTTTTTTCTTCTTTTTTTAACTGAAGCTTGTTGTATTTATTAACCCTATTAACCTGAGGGTAAGCTGTTGAAGAAAAAGAACAATTGTCCTTTTAAAAAAGGAGTATCGGGTTGTAGCGGGCTGTGGTGCTGACCCAGCCAGCAGCTGCGTTTATAGCAAACCTTGGCTCCATTCCCTACTGACCAGATAAAGCCCCTGTCAAAGGCAGCGGGATGCTGAACCAAAATAGGATTTTATGATGATAGCAACATCCTGGATATGTTTCTGTTGTTTCACAAAAACAAGAAAAGAAAAAAGAGTTTGGGATTTCAACCAACCCCAAAGCTGAGGAGCAGCCTTTTAGTGCTGGTGATAAACAAACCCCATCAAGGCTAGCGTGACCTCAGAAATGAGCATTGCGGGAGCAGGAGGAGAGGGAGCGAGGCTGGAAAGGAGTGATGTGGACATGGCCTGTAATATGAGTAAAGACAGGAGAAGGGAAGCCAGACGTTGACAAAGTGCTGGGCACTGGAGGAGATTTCTGATCGTACAGTTGGAATCACTGTGCACTGGACTGAGCGATTTGTCAGCAGGGGAAGGTGGGCTGGAGCATGAGGGAAAACTTTTGACCCTGGAAAATAAATTACAGCCATGTGCGAGAGCGTTGGAAGGTCCCGAGCTCAGAAGAGGTGCTTGAATGCTTTTGGAGGTACTGAGCACCTTCTCTTTCTGCAAATCCGACCCAAACTGAACCCCCCAAAATAGAGGTGACGCTGGCCCTTAAAGCTGCCAACAGGGACCTGCGGCTGGGTTTGTTCAGGAGCTTTTGCTCTTCACCCCACAGCGAGACCATGGCTGGTGCAGCAGCTCCTCCCGGGGCCCTCCCTCCGTCCCGAGCAGGAATGAGGTTTTTTTCAGCGCGGCTGAATCCTCTGCACAAAACTCCCCCGAGCACAGGGAGAGCGAGAGCCACCTGCCACTCGGCGTACGTCCTGCAGATAAGGCCCCGCGTGCGCTGGTTTATGAGAGTGTTATTTATCTTCCACGCTGTGTTGCCTTTGGGGTTTTGTTCTTTGGTATCTCATTGTTTGGGAGGATCAGAGCTTTTAAAGGTAAATGTTCTGAAAAATTAAAATGCGAGCTTGATGCTGTTAATATATCAGCTGTCGCAAATCCCAGAGGTTCAATTTCAAAACTACTTTTTGTTATGAAAGTGGGTTTTTTTTAAGCATGTCATTCTAAAACATGCAAATAGGCGGTGATCCCCTGCCCGTGGTGGCTGAATCATTGTTTGACCTCGGTTCTTTTTAAACCAGAGGACAAAATCAGTGATTCATGCAGGAGCGTGGTGACAGAGCAGAACCTGCTCGTGCAAAGGTCTGTCCAGCCCCAGGGCGAGGCAGGTCTTCTTCAAAGGGGCGCTAATAGGAACTGTAAATTTGGCAATCTGTTATGTTAATAAGTAGGGGTGTGTGTTTTTCTTTTAACTTGTAATGACTCCAGATTCATTGATCACTGGTGGCTAGAAGCGGATAGGTCCTTTTTCTGTCTCAACAGAGCTGGTGTGAGTTGATCTTTATTTGATTTCTTTTTTTTCATTCCAGGGAAACACTGGCATTGTAATGGGCATGTTTCTGGTGTCCTTTGTCATCTTGGTTGCCCTGGTGACGGTCTTATCTGGAATTGGGGTGTGTGAGAAGTGCAGCATCGGAAGTGGAGGAGTCTACTCCATGATTTCTACTGTCCTTGGAGGTCAAGTAGGGGGGACCATTGGCCTCCTTTATATTTTTGGCCAGGTAATAAAAAAAAAAAAAGTTATTTAAAGAAAATTTAGAAACTTTGCAATGCAGATACTAATCTTGTGCTTTCCTGCCGCAGGAAGCAATGCTCCAAGTAAAATCCGAGTAATGCTCCAGTATGCTGGACAGCATGGGAGAGCATCACAGGGAGCATTCAGCCCCGCTCTGCTCCCCAAGAGCAAGCCTGTAAATGGCAATACGCCGCCTGGCATGGGTCACAACGGTGGAGGAACTGGGTGTCTGAATAAGCAAACCGTGCACGACATGCCCTCCCATCCCAATTTACCCCCATTGCCAGGACATGCCCTTGCTGGCGAGAGATTTGACTTAAACCGAAGCGGGAGAGGCCAGAGCGGCCACCTAAAGCACAGCGAGCAGCTGTGGGTTGGCAGGTTGGCCTTGGTGTGCTCCCCGTGTCCTTAGGGACCGGGCAAGCCTTGGCCGCTTCTCTGCGGGAGCCGGCAGAAGTGGTGCTGGTATGGGAGGAGAGCTGGGCAGCAGTAAGGGCCACAGCTAATGGACTTCTTGAGATCCAAAAGTCACAGTTTTGGGTTTTCTGAAAGGCCCCAAGGAGCCATCATGATGGTAAAGCACCGAAATACACAAGTAGTAAACATAAAGAATAGAAAGTAATCTCTTAAACCTGCAGTTACTTAACCCCCTCCCCCTCTAAAGATGTTATGAACAGTATAAAATGTGGTGAGCAGAGAAGCATTTTTATTGAGGTTTGTTTTTAACTGACTGGCTTGCAGCAATCTCTGAAAACCCTTAAAAACCCCCAAACCAAAAATAATCCCCTCTTCTCCTTTCACTCCAGATTAAAAGCAAGTGTCCATAAAATACAAACTGAACACAGTTACAAGCCAAGATATGGAAATGGGCCACACATGAGAATCCTTCCTGTCATATTTTCCACTCTCCCTCTCCAAGCGGACCCCGTCTGGGAAAGCAATCAGGTTGCAGCCTGTCCTGACGGTCGTAAAAGCTGGGCTGCGGCAGCCCCGGCCCCTGCCTAGGCATCCCGTGCGCACGGGAGGCTGCGGGGTGGGAGCTGGCAGCTTGCTTAGGAACGCTTTGCCTGCTCCCGAAAGCTGATGCCTTTCTCTTCTCTTTGGCCGTGTTTTCTGCCCAACGTGCTTTGCACCAGCTGCAGGCTGCTCCCCCGCTACAAGATGCTCATGGAGCACTGTAACCTGCGTCACGAGGCGAGTCCAGCCAGAAACGGGGGTATTCCCCATTCCCTGATCTGACTGGGGCAAGTGGGGAATGACTGGCCACGTGCTGCTGATGCCTTGGGAGATGAGAGGTGGCGCAGTGCCCTGGGGCTGCTGCAGAGGTGGGCTCCTGCTGCATCAGCCAAGGTGAGCTGAGACCCGCTTGGGCTTTGTTGTCCTCCTGGAATGCTCCTGAGGAGAGGCTTAATCAGATTGCCCTAAACGATGCAGCATGCGTCTACTAGGTCCTACGGAGACCGATGCGTGTTTGGTCACCGCAGCTCTAACCATGAGGCCGGGGTTCGGTGCTTTTCTCTGCAGTCTCCTTTCCTGGAGTGGTTTGCAGTAAGACCTGTCTGTGCAAGCAGAGGTTTTCCAGGGTCCAGCCCTAAAATGCCAAAAGCAAAGATAGTGGCAGCGCTTGTCTGGGTCTTGAAAATCAATTATGTTCCTTGCCCAGCAAAATGTGTGGTTTACAAAGGCTTGTAAGGGACCGATTTCTGCAAATTTCAGCCTAGAACTCAGTTCTGATTTCAAGACAGGTAGTTGATGAGAAACCAGCCCGTGTCACAGTGCCACTGGGGCCCTGGCCATTGCTGTGTGCGGAGCAGCAGGGTGTTTGTGGGCACCCAGCTCCTCCATTCTGCAGGTGATGCTCATGGTTCATCAGAGGAAAGGCTTCAAGGAGACTTGCGGTGCTAAGACTGTCAGAGGCTTGCTCCGCTCTGCTCCCTTCAGAGTGTCCTTGCACATTGCCGTCCTTGGCGTGAAAGGAAAGAAAACTTATTTAGTTAAGAAAATTTAACTTCTTCAAAAACTGATGCTGGTCAGGTACAGGGAGTTGGGGTTAGGTGATACTGCTTTCTGTCTACAGGGCTTTTCCTCATGTGAGCGGCAAGAACTGCACCTGGTTTTAATGCGTTTATTGGAGCTAGATTCTGTTTGGGGTTTTTTTGGCTTCAGGTCTCAAGTGCAGTTTTTGTGGGTGCTCCAAGCAGAGCTGTGCCGGCGCGGGGTGTTGTCCTCTGCTAGCTCAGGAGGGACCTGTTTTCCGGAGAGAGCACCCGTGTAGGACATGTGTGGTCCACTCAGTGGTGGTGTAGGCCATGCTACACACAAGTAAACAAGAATACATCCACTTATTTGGGGACTACCCTGCAGAGTCTGAGACTTCTCTGGTGGAGACACTCACGGTGGGGCTACCAGTGAGGAGAAGGAGAGACTTTCAGGGTGTAGTTCACCCGATCTGTGCTAGGTGTCTTCCTATGATGGAAGTGAATCCTTCTCCAGGATCTCCAAGTTGTAGGTGTCTGAGTCTGAACAGGTGAATCCCACGCACCTTGCTTGCTGAAAACCATGCATGAACCCGCATATCCTGGGTATGGATCAGGTTGTCCCGAACACCCTCAGTGGAGCGGTGGTGGGTCGGTCCAAGGGGGATCTGCAGCAAAGGAGGGGTCTGCTCTGACTCTTGCTGGCTTGGGTGGGGGTTTTTTCCCTTCCAGTCGTGTGGGAGCCATGCTTCACATCCCTCAGCCATGGATGGGGATAGTGGGGTCACAGGACCCAAGGTCACACCACCCGTGCCGGTGTGCAGCTGTGTGCCCCAACCTAGTTTGCCGGGGATGCCATGCACTGGAAAGGGCTGTTGCTGAAATGTCAGCTAGTGGGAACCTCTGGAGGGAAATGTCCTGGTATTTAGGATTGCTGCTCCACTGTGGGGTTTGAGGCCTGAACCTGTGCTGCAGATGTCCCATCCTGCAGACTCTCAGCCACCCGGGGCAGAGCGCATGTCCTGCCCTGCAGCAACACAAACAAGCATCTTTCCCAGGAGCTCAGGGGGCATGGCTTGCACAATGCATTCTCCTCAAAAGTGCAGGCTCCGTTCCAGCAACGAGATGGGGAGCCAGTGAAACATCAGACTTTACATCCAAACTAAACAGCGAGTTAAAAATAACCCCTGGGAGGCAATGAAGGGGGAAGCAAACTGCTGTTCTTCAGGCAGGTGTTGAACTGGGACCCTTTACTTCAGAGAAACAGAAGAAGGGAAGAAACTTAGAGGTTGACTCATCCTTTTCTCTCTCGGAGAAGCCAGTGTGGTTTCTCCTGGAGCATTAATGGAGGGTAAATTTTAAAGCCAGCGGAAAGTTGCTGGGCCCTAGCACCCGGCCTTCTCTGTTTACCCGGGCAGTAGGTATGCTGCCTGGCAGTGTGCTGTCTTACAGCAATAAGGTTCAGTCCCTGTAGGCCAGAGTAACTTTAAAGATTGTATTGTGACAGCAAATGTCTGTCTGAACAGAGACCCCCCCAGCCCAGCATGGGGGCTGTGGATGGGGATCCCTTGTTCTCCCACGGGGTACTCAGAGAGCTCTGTCCTTCAGTGCGTTGCAGGTGCCATGTACGTCACTGGCTTTGCAGAGTCCATCGCAGATGTCCTGAGCCTCAGCAACATCTGGGTGGTGCGCGGGATCTCCCTGGCTGTCCTGCTGGGCCTGCTGGGGATCAACCTGGCCGGGGTGAAGTGGATCATCAGGCTCCAGCTCCTGCTGCTCTTCCTACTGGCTGTCTCAACGCTGGACTTTGTCATCGGGTCCTTTACACACCTTGATCCAGGTAAAACTGGGGGTTCAACACATTGGGGTCAGGAGGCATTAATCCCGCAGGGTTTTCTTCTTAGGTGTCTTTGTGAAGTTACACATCTGGACAGAGGTAGAGTTCAGCGCTTCCAGACATGTCCCCTGTCCTTTGGTACCAATCTTTTAGAGGCAACCCATAATTTTGCAAGGAGTAAGTATTTCTAGAGTATGACTGAAGATGCCTTATTAATTTAGGTGTTTAACCGCAGGAATCGAGCTCTCTATATGTGCACTTGTTGTACTTGTATTGCACTCGGAGGTTTTCTAACAACAGAGAGTGGCTGTGTTTGCAGTCGCTCTGTAGCCTTCTGCTGTCTAACCCCGCGTTAAGCATTGTGCCCATGAAAACGGAGGATTGTGACTTCGTATTAAGGAGATCTTCTCCCCAGAGACCCCTGAGGTCACTTAGACCCTGGCTGTGGTGAGCTGTGCCACCAGCACTGGCCCCAGGTAGCACACCACTGGATTTGCTGCCCAGGGCCATGCTGGGGAGCTGAGGAGGGAGCTGGGTGGGCTGGGGCAGGTGACTGCTGGGGTTTCAAGGAGCCATGGGTGCAAGTCTCCCCCGTTAACCTTCCCCAGCCTGACTTCAGCCTGCAGCGGCGGCTCCAGCTTGGGCAAGGCGGAGGTTTGGGGCTCCCACCTGCGGCCCTGCTTGCATCCCGAGCCCCCTTCCCCTCCCTCCATCCTCATCCCCGAGAGGTGTTTGCAGGGAAACACATCTCAAGACGCGGGGAGCTGTGGTGGAAGGGGTCCACGAGTGCTGCAGCAGCCACTCCAGCAATACCAAAGTGTAATTAGCTGAGTAAACAGAAGGTGTCACCTTTTTCTTGGCTTCCCCTGTGTCCAGCAGCACCTTAGGGGGTTGCAAGTGACCTGCTGAAGTCGGTTTAAAGGAAAGATCTTCAGTTTTGATTTAGTTAGGATTCACCTGCCAAGTTGGGTGGCAGGAGGTGAGTCACGTAGGTGTTCATAGCACCGATGGCATGGCTGTGTTTTCACACTGCTGTGTTATTTTGTGCTGCCGATACAGTGTACAAGGACGATGGGGTGGGGGCAGAAGCCGCTGCACCAGCAGCTGCTCCTCTCTCGGCGAGAGCCTTGTGGAAAGGCGTTTGCATTTTATATTTAGTATGTAAGAAATGTCCCAAATGAAAGTGGCAAAAGTCTCAGCAGACACTTGCAAACGAGAACGAAGCGAGGACGGTTGTGCTCTCTGTGGCATGTTTTGCGGAGAAAGCAACTGACCTCCTCCAAACAGCTGCATTTCATAGGAAGTTGTTTCCTAAAGGAAACGGGGGGATGGTGGCGTTTGCATTTCGGTGGTGCTCGGAGGAGACCTTTAATGTGGACCTAGAGACCTTTCTAATAGTAGAGAGAAAATGAATGCTTGGGGTGGGAGCTGATGGTAGGAAAGTGAACATGGGACCAGGAGGAGAGGATTAGAGGAATACAAATGTCAGCAGGAAACATGCCCAAGTTGAGGTCAACGTAGTTGTCTTTGATTTCCTCCATTGCCGAGTACTACGTCATTTTCTTCTGACAGAAAATAGAGAAAGGAAAGGAATGAACCAGTTGAGCATCGCAGATGCTGCAGTTTAGCCATGGCTGGCTAAAGTGAGGAGGGTTTCCAGGGTATGGAAGAAGGTTGGGCTGATGGTGGCTGGATCCAAGCCCCAAACACCAGTACCCCAGAGCAGCGCTGCCCATATGGTGGGACCTGCGGCCGTAAGGCTGGCTGGGGAGAGCTGTGGGTTTCTCTGCTTTTACAGACAGCTTCCGTGTGAGAGAACGGTTTTGAGTCCAGGCTGAACAGTTGGTTCCTCCCAAGTCCTGCATTTCCCCAGAAGGCCTCTGAGTGGTGTGTCAGCACCAACGGTGAGCGCTGGGCTTCAAGAATCCTTCTGTCTTGCATGCTTTCTGCACGGCATGGATGGATGCTTGTCTCCTGGGTGCGATTGCACCCGTCAGCAAAGCATCCCTCCTGCAAGGCAGCGCAGGAGGCTGTGGGTGGGATGTGCAGGTGTTGGTGAAACTCCGTTCTCGAGAGTTGGTTGATGGCAGTGGTGGGGTGCGATGCATCTGAGCCCAGCACCTGGGGAAGCATTTGAGACCCCTTTGGGGTGGGCAGTCAACTGATCACCTCTCCGCAGCCTTCACGTGCGTGCAGTTGTTTTGGGTTTGGTTCTTCCACTGCAGCGGTGACTGAGATGCGAAGGGCAGCGTGCAGGGAGAGCCACGGGAAAGGTAATTTTTGGGGACAGACCTGTGAGCTGGAAAGATTTCAGCTGACATCTTGCCTGGGTTGCTTCCTTGTTTTATGACACGTTTATGGGGTCTCAGCTTGCAGCATCAGGTCTCGGTCTCCGAACCTGTAAAATGGGCCTCGTGCAGTCATCTTGCCTTTCCTGCTCCTACCATGGCAGCCTTTTCCCTCACTTCACATTTCCAAGTGCTGCACACATACCAAAGGACTGCGCATCTGCCAAGCAGCAGTTATTTGGATTTAAATAATCTCCAGGAATGCCTGTCCATCTTGAAGGTCTTAAATGACTGCCTTTGTGTGGTTGCACTGGGTGGAGTCCCCTGCTCTTCTCCTCATTCCCTCAGCTCACACCCAGGCACACACCAAATCGGATATTGTCCAAGCACTCACTCCCTTCCTGTGGTTTGCCTTTATTTTTAGTTTGAGGACGGAGCGTGTTTACACAAAAGGGGGCTTCTCAGCAGGGCTTCCCGCTGCTTTTTCTCCTTTTTTTTCTCTCTATTGCTGTGGCTCGCTCCCACTCCGAGAGCCGGCTGGGCTCCTGCAGCCCGGAGCTGGGGCTGGAGGAGCTGAGCAGTTCCAGCAGACAGGGACTGCTCAGGGTCGCTTGTCCAGATGCTGCCGTCCCTGCTGAGACTGCAGGCAGGCCTGCCTGCCTGCCTGCTCCCTGCCGGGCTGCGGCTCCCTCTGCCTGGCCCTGAGGGCTTTTGCTCCTTTCCGCAGGCTGCCTGCAGGGTGGGGTGGGACTGGCTGATTTTTTGGAGTTAATCCTAAATCCTCCCCTTGGCTCTGGCTGGCTGGCACTTCCCGTGGGGATGGGTCAAGGTCCCAGGCTGGGATCTTGGCCAGGGGTGGGTGGCGAGGATCGGGGCTCCCTGTGCTGTCTGAAAACCAGCCTCTTCGAGCTGTCTCCAGCCGCTCACCTTAAAATTCAGTCCCACTTCCAGAAACGGAGACCCCCGTGCTCCTTCCTCGGGATGGAAAACATCTGTATTCTCTTTCTCCCTAGGCACAGCTTAATGCTTTTACCAAACCTAATGCAGGTGAATTGAAATCAAGGCAGCACTCGACTTCACGACCCATAACCAAGACCCAGAGCTTGCTGCATGGTAGCAATGCAGGGTTTTCTTGGCTTGCGTACGTTTGCATTTTGATTCTGGAGGTCCATACCTCAAAATCAGCCTGAGTTATTTTGGGGGGAGCAGTGGATGTAAAGGAAAGGATGCTCCTCTCCGTGACCAGCTCCTCAGAACAGTATGTGAAACTTTTTGGCCTCTTCACGTCCCGAACGTTAGAGTCATGGAAAAAGAAGATAAGCCCGCCGTTAATGCCCACTCTTTTATTTTCCTAGCATATCTCTGCTAATTTTTGTGTAGGGTGACTCCCAAATACTCCCTTTCAATTAGGCGCCTGCTTTCCTGTTTTGGCAGTGGCTCTCAGGTGCCCTGTTGAAGCAGAGTGGCTGTAGGAGTGCCGGGGGGGGGTGGTATTGGGGGGAGAGTTGGTGTTAATTTGATTGCACTTTGTTGGGGAGATGAAAGGAATCGCAACATGAGCAAAAGGGGCCTGACAACAACCTCTTAAATGCCTGGGGAAGGGGGGGGGGGAAATAAATGATTTTGTTGGGAATTCATAATTGGAGGGTGGGAGACTGACCCCTGGGGACCCCCAGGGCTGGGACCCCCCGTCCTGCAGCAGACAGTGCTACATGCCTGGGGCTGAGCCCCTCTCCTCCCAACTGGGGAACCCGGGTAGTTCATTTCTCAGGGACACGGGGAGGCTTGAAAGGCACGTTGCTGTCAGGGTGCTTCTGCTTGGGACTATTTTCCATGCAAACCACATCCTTTGTGCCACCCGCTTCAGCTTTAGCTTCCCAAAGCTGCTCACACAGAGCCCAGAAAACCCATTTATTATCCTTACTTCTTCCTCCGAGGATGAGTCCTTTGGAGGATTCATTCCCTTCGGGCGCCCTGCGGACGAGCTGGGGGAGCTGATGCTCTCCCGTGGGTACCACTGGTGAGGAGCTGTGGGAGAGGAGCTTCATTTGGGGCTGCTCCAGCAGACAGGGAACCTGCAATTGTTAAAGTGATTTATGTATATAAACACCCTGGTGGTGTAAAGATGCCTCAAATGGTGCCTCAGGAGCTTTGATGGATTGAATTAATTAAATGTATTCCCACATATTTAATAAGAAAGTGATCAAAGTGTCTTAATCGGTGGCTTTTGCTTGGCTCTGGGTTGTTTTATTTTATTTTTGGGCACGAGGGGTGTGCCCCAATTTCATAAGAGAGGGTGCAGGAAGGATGTGTGTGTCAGAAGATGATCTGCAGCTAATCCCAGAGGCTTTATCCAGGCTGATTGCTGACTTCCTGGCCTGAGACACATCTGGAAACTGGCATCAAATTCCAAGCAGAAATCACTGAGCAAGCGGCAGCAGAAAAAAAATCCCACTTTGCTACCGAACAAGGTAGACACCATGGTGAATAAAAGCAGGAGGCTGCTAATACGCTCTTTATTTATTAAAAAACACGGGATTGCTTTCCCCAGGTTTTTCCAATTATAGCGCATTGAATGGCCCTGACATCACTCTTGAGCTGTGGCCAGCCTATTCAACAGTCTGGCGAAGACATTTATTAACTGGTTACCTGCCAATTGTCTGGGCTAGGAGCTGCGGAACAGATGTGTTTTGAAAAGTGATAACATTGTTAGGG